AGGGGTGTGTATCCCCAACTGGGGGGGGGTACTTTGGTGGGGGTCTCGAAGGGCATGCCTGCCATCGCTCGGACGTCCATTTCCCGTGCATTTTTCGGGTTCGTGCGTGCGTTTTTTGCGCGATGGTCCAGGATGGTCCAGGATGGTCCTCGACGGGAAAAAAATGCACGCGTCCGAGCGATGCCAGGCATGGGGATGGGGATGGGGATCGGCCAAACGATGCCGAGGCCCGGGACCCGGAGGTTCACCCGGGATCGGCGGCAGCGCGCCGGAGGAGCCGCCCAGCTCCCGGGCCGGGGCGGGGGGCCGCCCAGGCCCCCGGAGATGGGCGGCAGGTGCGCGCCTCTGCGGTGGTCGAGGCCTCTCCCGCCGTGGCCTTCCGCCCCCGGCTGGTGGCGCCCCGGAAGAGCAGGGGGGTCGCCCCCCTCCTCGTCCTCCTCCTCCCCCCTCGCACCTCCTCCTCCTCCGCCTCCTCCTCCTCCTCCTCCTCCTCCTCCTCCTCCTCCTCCTCCTCCTCCTCCTCTCCTCCTCCTCCTCCCTCCTCCTCCTCCTCCTCCTCTCCTCCTCCTCTTCCTCGCTCCCTCGCCGCCTCCTTCCTCCCCTCCTCCTCCTCCTCCTCCTCCTCCTCCTCCTCCTCCTCCTCCTCCTCCTCCTCCTCCTCCTCCTCCTCCTCCTCCTCCTCCTCCTCCTCCTCCTCTTCCTCGTCCTACCCGCCACCTGCTCCTCGACATCCTCGTCGTCCGCGTCGTCGCCGCCTTCAGGGTCGGCGGCACCGGCCGTAAGGCCTTTGCAATACTAGAAGCGAAGGTGGTGGGTGTGGGGCCAGGGGAGGGGGGAGGAAGAAGGGGTGAGCATCGAGGACGATGATGACGGCTTGCGTGTGTGAGGGCGCTGATGGTGATGGCGGCGGTGATGGTCATGAAAATGATGATGATGATGATGATGATGATGATGATGATGATGGTGGTGACGATGATGATTGTGATGGCAATGATGGTGATGGCGACAACGATGATGATGATGACGATACTGATCATGCTGATGCTGCTGATGATGCTGATGATGGCGATGTTTCTGCTGATGATGCTGGTGATGCTGATGATGCTGACGATGCCGATGATGCCGATGATGCTTATAACAATAATGGCGATGCTGCTGCTGCTGCTGATGATGTTGACACGGGTGATGATGTTGATGGTCAGATTGATGATAATGATGATACGTATGGTGATGATGATGGTGGTGATAGTGATGTTGTTGATGATGATGCTGATGATGATGATGATGATGATGATGTTAATGATGCTGACGATGGCGATGGTGATGATGATGGTGATGATGAGGATGATGATAATGGTGATGCTGATGAGCATGATGATAAAGATGATGATGACAATGATTATGTTTACGATGATGATGCTGATGATGACAATGACGATGTCGATGACGATGATGTTGATGATTAGTTGTGTGTCTGTGACGATGGTGGGGATTAGAACGAAGATGAGGATGAATAGTAGAGGGAAGACGGAACTCGCAAGAAGGGGTGTGAGTGAGTGGGCGAACAGGGTTGGGGAAGAGAAGGTGAAGTAGTGAAGACCGAGTGGGTCGAGCAGCGAGGAAGAGGGAAATGTGGACTGGGCGGGAAGCATGGGTATGAGGCTGACGCTTCTGCCAGGCCCTGCGGTCACTGCCGTATGGGGCCAGGCGTTCAGAGCGGCCCTCCTGCGCACGGCGGCTAGCAAGAACGGTTGGCTGTCCTCTTTCTCATCAACGTCCTCCTCCTCCTCCTCCTCATCGTCCAACTCTTCATCCCCCTCCTTTCCCAACTCCTCCTCCTCGTCCTCATCCTCGTCCTCCTCCACCACCTCCTCCATCATCATCCCCATCCCCACCCCCCTCCCGATTGCCTGCGTCTGCACCTACACCCTCCAACTTCGCTTGCCCTATCCCCCTGGGTAACATACCCTGACTTATGCGCCCCCATTCTGACCCCATCATCATCGCCATCAGAACCATCAGCATCACCATCACCACCACCACCACTATCATCATCATAATCAGCAATATCGCAATCAGCAACATCATCATCAGCGTCAGCCGTATCAACATCATCAGCATCACCATCAGTACCACCATAATCAGCATCAGCGTCGCTGTCAGCATCATCATCAGCACTACCATAATCATCATCACCAGCATCGTCATCATAATCGTCAGCATCATGAGCATCAGCATTGTCGCAATCATGATCCTCATGACTACCACCGCCGTCACCACCACCATCAGCACCACAACTATCATCAACAACACCAACATCACATTCATCAACATCGTCATGAATAGCAGCAGCATCAGACGCATCAACAGCAGTGTCACCACCAGCCTCGCCGCCGTTGTCCGCAGCCTCAGTATATCCCTATTTTTCGGCAGTAGCATTATCATCATCATCAACAGCATCATCAGCAACATCGGCATCATCATCATCATCATCATCATCATCATAATCATCATCATCATCGTCATCACAATCATCATCCTCGTCCTCATCCGCATCACCCTCATGATCAACAACAGAATCACCATCACCAGCATCATCATCATCATCAACACCATCAGCATCAACGTCATCAACGTCGTCGTCATCGACATCATCACCATCATCATCATCATCACCAACATCATCAGCAACATCATCATCATCAGCACCGTCATCATGTACATCATGATCATCAGCATCGTCGTTGTCGTCCTCACCAGCAACATCATCATCAGCATCGGCATCGTCATCGGAACTCCTCATCATCCTCCTCAGCAACATCAGAATCAACATCACCCGCAACATCACCACCGCCATTGCCACTAGACGCATCACCAGCAACAGCATGATTAGCATCATCAGCAGCGTCATCAGAATCACCGCCAGCACCATCATCGTCATCATCACCAACATCACTATCATCAGCATCAGCATCATCAAAAGCATCATCATCAACATCAGCATCGCCGTCAGCATCATTGATGAGTACCATCTGCATCACCATCGGGATCGTCACCATCACCTTGATCAGCACCACCATCACCATCACCATCACCATCACCAGCGTCATCATCATCATCAGCATCATCATCAGCATCATCAGCATCATCGTCATCGTCATCGTCATCGTCATCATCATCGTCATCACCGTCATCAACATCATCATCAACATCATCAGCAGCAGCAATATCGTATCCACCACCCCCTTTCACACAAACGCGCGTGCACCTGGTGCATAGTTATAACCAACTGCATCTTCAAATACAGAATCACTCCTCTTCGCTCCTCTTTCTCGCGCAGACTGCCGAGCGCACTCGCTCGTAGCGTCAGGGACGGCGGCCGCGGCCGCCGACAGCAAGAGAGAAGCGCGCCTCGGGCACCGTGCACACCATGCTGAAGTGGACGGCGAGATCGAGACCCCCCTCCTCTGACGACCCCAGCCCCTCTTCGCTCCTTGCCCTCCCCCCACCCACGCCCGTGTCCTCCCTCTCCCTCGCGCGCGGCCCCGGAGCACGCCCCCCGCCCCATGTCGGGCGAGCGGAACGTGACCCTGGGGCGGGATGTCCCAAAGCCCCCACGACCCTGCCTTGGGTGGGCTGGGGGGCGAGACCACACTTTTTTCTTTTGGTCGCAGCCGCAGGCGAGAGCGCAAGCGGCGAGTCGTAAGTCCGGGGCGCGGGCCTACTGATTGACAACAGGAGCAAGCTCTAGAGTGGCGTGACCGAAACACCTGGCTGCCTGAGCGTCGCCTCCGGTAGGCTGCAGGCTGCACTGAGTGTGGATGCCAGGGCCACGGGCAGGAAGCGTCCACACAGCGTCCATGCCAGCAAGGGCGAGACCACGCAGGGAGCAATGGGAAATGGGAATGACAAGGAGCACGGTTTTCTGATGAGATCGGCAGTGGCCCCCCCCCTCCCTGGCGCGCGGAGCGCGCCGGGCCGGGGGCGGCGACGGGTGCGCCGCCGGGGAGAACATGCGCATGGTTCTGCAGCTCCAGGAAGTCCGAGGAAAGAAACTCCAGCGCATATCCTTAAGGGGCCCTGGGACTCACAAATAAATGCACACTAATAAAAACATTCCCCATAGTTTCCCATATTTTCTCGGATTTTGTCTTCCCCGCCACTTCCCATATTTTCCCATATTTTCTGGGGATCGACGATTCATTGTGTCTGTGTGTTTTTCCCCTCCTGATCTTTCCTACAGCCAAGCCGTAATGATAAGAAGGCTGTACGATAGGGCTTCAAGAGCCTCGGGAGCCCATTTCGAAGCTCTTCGAGCGGGGCGCGGCCCACGAAAGTGGCCAAGAGCGGACCGAGGAGGCAAGGATGCAAGGGTACCCTTGGCAAGGTTGCCAATCCTTCCTTCGGCGGTGGACAAACCTCCCTTTAGTACACTACACCTCCCCTTAGTGAAAACGACCTGGGACCGAAACCGACGGATCTGGACCCGCAAAAAGGACGGCCGCGACGCCCTCTCGCGAACCGAAAACGGCCAATTCGCTTATCGACGTGTCAGGGTAGGAGGTCTGTCAACCCCCGATTCCTACGCGGGTTGACTGTGCGGTCGGATTTTCATCCCGAGACGCTGTTGACCCGGGGGCCAGCGAGGACCCCAGAGGCCGAGATCCCAGCGAGACCGGCTGGGGGGGGGCCCTCCTCCGAGGGGCGGCTGGCTTAGAGGCCTCCCGGATGGGGTCCGAGCAGCTGGGATCGGAGGCCTCCGCCGCATCGCCGCCGCACCGCCGCCGCATCGCCGCTGCATCGGCGCTGCATCGGCGCTGCATCGGCGCGGAGAAGCTCGGGCTCCGCGTCGAGCCGCATGCCCCCGGCCCCGCCCGCCCGGACCCCCCGCTGGGAGGCCTGAGACGGAGCTGGTCGGCGGCCAGCCCGGGGGGGGGAGCGAGAGAGAGCGGGCCGCCTCAGGAGGCTCGGGAGGCCCCCACTCTGCTGAGAGGTCCTCGAGGCCTTCCGCAGCGGCTCCGGAAGCCTCTGAGAAGACCCGAGGGCTTCTGGGTGGGAAGCGCCGCCGCCTTCTGAGAGGGCCTCCACCGTCCAATTCCCCCTCCCCCCCCCCCCCAGGGGCGCGCCGCCGAATCTGGCTCTCGAGTCATGATTCGGGTCTCCAGCGGCCGCTCGGGAGGATCCTGGCAACCCACTGGAACGCCCTCGGCGTGGCGCAGCTGCCGGCAAGCATCCCGAGGCCGAAAAGCCGCCGAGAACCGACGAGAACGTCCGAAAAACTCGAACCCCGAACCTCGAACCCCGAACCTCCAAACCCGAACGTGACGAACCAACAACACACACCCATACCCATAGGGGGATCGGAGAGGGCTATTGGTGCGTGTTGTCGAATGGGGATCCCCGCTCGAACGGGAGCGTTCCCCAGGGTCCGACAACCCGCACCTATACCCATAGCCAGACCTCCTCCCAACGACCCCCCTATGGGTATGGGTGTGTATTGTTCGTTCGTCACGAACTACCCGAACGCTCGCCGCCGAGCTGGGAGGTTCCCCCCCCGTCGGCGGCGCGGTCCTCACGGCAGCGCTGGGGTCGCCGGCGCAGGCGCGAAGGGCGGCTGCGGTGCGCTCGTCGCCCCGCTCCGCCACTGGCAGGGCGGGTCGCGTACTGGTGCGGTCGTCGTCGTCGTCGTCGTCGTCGTCGTCGTCGTCGTCGTCGTCGTCGTCGTCGTCGTCGTCGTCGTCGTCGTTTTCATCGTCGTTTTGGTCGTGGTCGTGGTCGTGGTCGTGGTCGTGGTCGTGGTCGTGGTCGTCGTCGTCGTCGTCGTCGTCGTCGTCGTCGTCGTCGTCGTCGTCTTCATCGTCGTTTTGGTCGTGGTCGTGGTCGTGGTCGTCTTCGTCGCCCTCGACGTCGCGCTCTGCCGGCGACGGGGGGCGGGCACAGCCCTTCTTGGAGCCCTGAGCAGAGGCACAACGGGCGGAGAGACCGCCGTAACTTTGGCCTCTGGGGGGTCCTCGCCGGGCCCCCACGGGCAGTGGAAGGGCGCGGCCTCGCTGCCTCGCTGTGGGTGGGCAGCGAGGCCGCGTCACGCCTCACCTCCTCCCCGCTCTCGCGTCGCCGTCGTCGGAATCATCATCATCATCATCATCATCATCATCATCATCATCATCATCATCATCATCATCATCATCATCATCATCATCATCATCAATAATCATCATCATCATCATCATCATCATCATCATCATCATCATCATCATCATCATCATTATCAGCAGCAGCAACATCATCATCATCAGCATCATCATCATCATTATCATCATCATCATCATCAGCATCATCATTATCAGCAGCATCATCAACATCAGCACCAGTATCACAATCCATCAGCTGACGATCATCATCAGATTCAGCATCAGCATCAGCATCAGCATCATCCTCATCATCATCATAATCAGCATTATCATGATCATCATCCTCATCAGTATCGGCATCAGCATCAGCACCATCATGAGCGTCATCATCATCAGCAGCACCATCATCAACACCATCATCATAATCGTTAGCACAACAACAACCATAACCGTTATACTAGTAATACAAATTACAATAAACATGCTACGTATCGCAACGAGCCTGATAATACGAATGCGAATACGAATACTTATAATAGCGTAAGTAATCGCGAAGAGTCAATAGTAACTAGGCCCATAACAATTAAAAGAAATGATGATCAGCATCATCAGCAAAATCACAATCATCATCATCATCAGCAGCATTATCATCATTAGCATCATCATCATCAACCTTACACGAATCATCATCATCACACCACCAGCATCATCAGCCGCATGAGCATCAGCGGCGTCAGCATTGATATCATCATCGGTATCATCATCGTCGTCGTCGCCACCATCACAATCAGCATCAGCGTCATACTCGTCGTCAACATCACAAACATCATCAGCAGCAGCATCTTCAACAAAAAACTGTGCAGCATCAACATTGTCACCATCAGCAGAAATAAAGGCGGTACAACCAGAATAACCAGCATCATCTACAACATAATCAGCATCCGCATGATCAACATGATCATCATCAACATCAGCATCGTCGTCACCATCGACATCCCCATCATCGTCGTCGACATCATCATCATCATCATCATCATCATCACCATCAGCAGCAGCACCAGCATGAGCATCATCATCATGATCCTCAGCATCTGCGGTAGCAGCAGTATCGTAATCGGCATATTCATTATTTCGGCAGCAACATAATAATCCTCTGCATCGTGACCAGCAGCAACAACATCACCATCAACAATATGATCCGCAGCAACAGCAAAACCAGCATCAACATCATCATCAGCAGCATCATTGTTATCATCATCACGATCAACCGCATGAGCATCATCATCAACATTAGCATCAGCATCAATATCCGCCGCACCCATGTCGGCACACCCCGTACATTATTCGCGGCCCCGTCAGGAGCTCCAAAGGCCCCACTGGCAGCGCCAGCATGCCACCGCCGTGCCCATGTCAGCGCACCCCTCGCATGCTTCGTGGCCCCGTAAGGACCTCCACGGAAGGCTCCAGTGGGAGAGCCTTCATGCGACTGCCGCACCAATTTCGACACACGCCTTATACGTTTCGCCGCCCCGTGGGGAGCTCCACAGACGGCTCCAATGGGACCGCATGCATTTCGGCGCACCCCTCACACGTTTCGCGGCTCCATATTGGGAGCTCCATCGAAGGCCCCACCGGGACGGCGTGCATGCCAACGCCGCACCAATTTCGGCACATCCTTCACACGTTTCGCGTCCCCATATAGGGGGCTCCAGCGAAGGCCTCTGTGGGAGGACCCGCACGCCACCGCCACACCCATTTCGGAGCGCCCGTCACACGTTTCGCCGCCCCGTAGCGAGCTCCACCGACGGCCCCAATGAGAGGGCCCGCATGCCACCGCCGCAACCATTCCGGCACGCCCCTCACACGTTGTGTGGCCCTGTAGGGAGCTCCGCCGAAGGACCCAGCGGGAGGGCCCGCTTTGCTGTGACGACGCCCCGTGCCCCGACCTTCCTGTGGCGTGCTGGCTATGAGGAGAGGGCCGCATCCGACGATAGTCGCAGTTTGCTTGTCCGGGTCCTTGGCTTTGCGGGACTCGCAGCTGCAGATGGTTGGGACCTTCGCCAGGATAATGATGTTTGGCGGGGGGATCCCCAAGCAGTCCTTGCACTTGGGGGTTCTTCAATCTCTTCCTGCAAGCAGTGGACGGGTCTGTCGAGATGTCGCCCGGTGCCCGCCCCGTGGGCGCCTCCGGGGCGCCTCGTGCGCTGGGTGGGTCAGCCGATGCTTCGCCAGGTGCCCGCCCGCGTGCACCACATCGGCTTGATTTCGCCGCATGGCATACACCACGCGTAGTGGAGGCCCAACCACAAAAGACCTTCCACAAGAAACCCAACCCTGAGACCCCAGGGCGGCCATTGGTATTGAGGTGTGGGAACGTCACGCTTCCCATCGCAAAAGCATCGAAACCCAAGAACCCCAGGGCACCCTGGAGGCGAGCAGGGTGTTTCGTGGCATGGATCTGCTGTAACGCGCATCTACGCTACATGGCACGACATCGCTTACACCAACTAACCGACACCACCTGATTTGCACCATATTGCATGCACCACGTAGCTTGCACCACATGGCGAACACATACACAGTGTAAATACTCACTGTGTAGAGACGATGGCGCAATAAAACGTGACAATTCGTTTTGGCGATAGCCTTTTAAACACGCAGACACACCATTACGCATATGCATTCCTCAACCGCTGCTCGCACATATGGCGTCTTACGTGTTCCCCAGACGGGGTCTGCCCTTAGGGGTCCTTAGTTGTGTTCTAAGATGCTGGGCCTGACGATCAGTCTGGCGGCTGTCTGGTCGCCGTGGCCGCCCCGTCGACGCCTCGTCGCCGCCAATCGTATGGGACTGACGATCGGTCTGGCGGCCATGATGTCGCCGCCGCCGCCCCGTCGACGCCTTTTAGCCGTCCGTCTCTGGGCGTGACGGTCGGTCTGGAGGCTATGTTGTCGCCGTCGCCGCCCCGCCGCCTCCTCGTCGCCGCCCGCCGTCTGGGCCTGACGGTCGGCCTGGCGGCTACATTGTCGCCGTCGCCACCCTGCCGCCGCCTCGCATAGAAAAAAAAAAAAAAAAATGCACTACATATACGCGTTTCCTCAAACAAAAACTCAGATCCACCAGCCCCCCCCGGCTTTCTCGGTACACCTTTTTGTGCTGCAAATAACATATGATTCAGCCCCATCGCCCATCCCAGGTACGACTTCGTACCATCCCAGCAGGGCCGCGATCGACCCGCACGCCATCCACTGCAACAGATACTATGCGCGCACACTCCTTTGTCAAAAATTATCAATTGTTTCATCATCCGCTGCAAGAAAAAAAACAAAATGCACATGCGCGCGTCGTCGCGAGCGCAAGCCCGAATCTTTCACAAACTTCCATTTTCAGAGGAACTTCACAAATCGAGTGTCCAAAAAGTTTTACAAAAACCAAAAAAATGGTTTCGCAACGCGGATTTCACCAACACGAAAAAACGTGCGCGCACCCGTGCCAATCCTTAAAACGACCATCGGTGTTTCAGCATTTCCAGAAAACACTACCCAACGGGCTTCGCGCGCGCGCATGTCGAAATCGTTCGAACGCCCTTGCGCGCGTGCCGTCGCGAGAACCCGTTGTAAAGAAAATGGAACACAATGTACACGCGCGCGTCATCGCGCGCGCATGTCAGAATCTTTCATCAACCTTTTTTCATGCGTAACGGCTTCAAACCCGAATGTCAAACAAACCTTCAAAAATACATAGATTCGCAACTTCAATATTCCAAAAAAAACTGCGCGCATTTGCGAAATCTTAGGGAAACGCATACGATTTTCAACATGCGCACGGGATTCTTCCACACGAGCTTCTGGCGCCGCATGTCGACATCATTCGCACGCCCTTGCGCGCGTGCTGGGGGGGCACGGTTCGTATCAAAGTATACCATGCGGGCCACTATCACGCGTCGGCCGCGCGCAAATGTCGAACTCTTTCCAAAACCTTCATCACCGAAACGAGGACGCCGTCATCGTCGCCGGCGTGATCAGCATCGGCGCCCGCACTAGCCGCGCCTTCGTCGGTGCGAACATCGTCGCCAACATCGCTACTCTCATCATCGTGTCTACCGTTGTCGGCGTTGCCATGATAACGCGCCCGCCCAAGTCGCCGACTCGCAGTGAAGTGCCCCCTGGGATGCGCCCAGCGGTCAGCGCCTCCGCGGCCGCGTCGGTGGCGCCAAGCTAGCTGGCCGCTGCGCGCGCGTGCTAGGGTTGGCGCGGCCGCAGAGATGCACCAGCCAATGCCAAGCATGCATCGCAATCGTCCCCGCATGGGTTTTACAAACCAAGTTGCGGGTGGGTGGGCGGGATACTGGCAAGAGCAAAGGATGTGTCAACTCGCTTGCTCATATCAATTCTCCTTTCTCAAAAAAGAATAGACTCTACCCCCCCCCCGGACTTATCGGTTCCCCCTGGGTTAATATGATTTCATATATTTTCTGCACACTCGTCCATCCTAAATATGAAATCGTACCAT